TAGCTTATAAGATGCCTTTTTTTTTTCTTTTACTATCTGCATTATTGCAAATACTTTTTACTTTAATTTTTTAATTCTTATTATTTGAGCATTCTTAAATCTTTTACAGATATATTCTAACTCTCATCTATTGCTATCTGTTGGCAAGTTCTATATCATTATGCATGCTTTGTCATTAGATTTTTCCTTCATCTTATAGTTGTTTGAGTTCTTCTCAATCTTGTTTTCTTCTTTGTTATATATCTTTTCTTTATTTTTTATTATACTATTTCTTCTTTTTTAGTATTCTTCATTGTGTAGTCTTTGTTTTTCTTTTTTGTCTTCCTGCTCTTCTGGTATTAGTTTATACCAATCACTTTTTCTGCTAATTCTTTGAATTGTTTTATTTCTACTATGCTCACAATCAAAATCTATCTCTATTCACAAGTTTTCTCTTTTGAAGACTTCTTTAATAACTTTAACATGTTCATTATCTTTTAGTAACTACTTGATAAATTTTATATGTTCTTCTTTTGTTGTTTCTGGCATGTTATGTGCTAGTATATTGGCAAGTAGACTGTTATGTTGGTTGCAATTTCTTTTGCTTAGTGCCCACATGTTCTTCTTAAGTGGTTCTCCTATTATGTCGATTTCTTACTCAATTTTCTGTTCTATTTCAAGCTATGCTTTTGTTTCTTTTATTGTTATATTATGTTTTGGCTCTTTTCAATTTGCATCTGCACTCTTTTGCTTATATTTTTCTATTTTTTCTGTGATTTCTTGTTGAACTTCTAAGCTAGTATTTTGTATTTTTTCCTTGTATTGTCTGCCTTTTTCTATATCTACTTCTACTAGTGACTTTTGTTTAATTTCTTAAGTTAATTCTATTTTTGTTGATTGAAGTTGTTCTTTTGATGTGTCATTTGTTTGTTTTAAAGCAGGTTTTATTATTATTGCATAGTTACTTTGTTCTACTATGCTCAGCTTTTTTTCTAGCTGCTTTTTCTTCACTTTTTCTATTAGCTCTCTTGTTAATCAACCTCATTTAGATTCTGTTCTGTTGGCATGATGATGATTCTGTTCTCTTTATCAGATGTAACATATATCTTACTTGCTTGTTTCAGAAATATCTCATAAAGGGGTGTGGCAACCTAGTGAAGTAGTCAGGTTGTCAACCCCTTGACCCAAAAATTAAGTTGAAAGATTGATAGAAATAACAATTGTATAATTGTTAGCAATTATTTGAGAGTTAAGAGAGCATCCAGAATATATATAAGATTGAATAGGTAGAAGAAGATAAAGTTAGGTAAATTGTGATTCAATATTGCATTGCCAGTGGGTAATAAAGATCGATCCAGATGCTAAAGATTGCCTTCTGGCTTTTTCAACCTCAAGTGGTAGGTTGAATGTTCAAATCCCATTAACAGCAAAAATTTGGATAATCACTTATATAATATTCATATTATGGCAATTGTTACTAACGATTGGGTTAGGATATCTGTAATAGCAGTCACACCTGCATGACTAGTAGGTCATAGGGCATTCATGTAACAGATCACATGACATTGTTCTTTGGGACAAGGTTGTGGTTACACAAAGAAATGCAAACTGGCAATTAGGCAGGCAAACACTAGATAAGTCCTTGTAGCTGTGTAAATCTGTTGAAATTAGGTAACAAGAAGTCTATTTGGGAAGATCTGAGTAGAGAGATAGCCAGATCTTTGATGGCTCTACTGTAAAGGCTAGTCTTATAAAATGGATACCAAGGTTGAAGTAATAAGATGGGCAAAAACCTCTAGATGGAGAGTACCACCAACCAGGTCATCAGATCAAGCCAAAGAAAAAGAATATTAGGCCAACCTAATATATCAATGAACCGGTCGTAAGTCCTACCAGGCTATCTGGATTGGGAGTTTGGTAAACTAGCAGGGGTATACTAAAGTATTTCAGATATGCTGTAAAGTAGATGCTGGGGTTTGTGTGAACTTTACAAGAGCATAGCAGTTAAATGATCAGTTCTGACTGCAAATATTGGTTCTGTCATAGTGATACCTAGATTAGCTGTAAAAATGAGTACAGAAGGCTTTGGGAAATTTACTTTGAGGATAAATTAGTTCTAAGGTTGAGACAATGATCTGAGCATCTGGAATAACCCAGTGATATTAACACAGATTACAGGTTCAGAGAGTTTAAAATAGAACATCTAAGCAGAAGTGTTAGATACAGCAATTAGTAGGGAACCTTTGGGCAGACTCCTTAAATAAGTAATATAAAAAAGTTATACATGTAGCCAATTGTACACTCTCCTGTAGTAGTTCATTGAACCACAATACTGATAAGTAATTAATAAAAATCAAAAGACCAAAGAGGTCATCTTAATACCAAAAAAAAAAAAACCTCATTGTATATACTGTTAATAGCCCAGTATGCTCTTTTGATATATGTTGTTATTAGACTGTTATTACATTTTTCTAATATATTCATATTTTGGCTTAAGTTGCATATATGTATGTTTTGTTTGGTTTGCATATGATCTGTTTGTTGTTTGTTTACATTCTTATGATTACAACAGCTCTGCAATACAGAGTTAATACTGATTCTTTAAAATTTTGTTTTTCATGTATTTTCTTCAGAAAAAAATTATTGTTTTTCTTGTTTCTCTTGTTGGTTAGCTTATTTTTTGTTGTCTTTTCTTTTTCTATACCTTTTTTGAATTCTTTTCTATTTTACTTAGGCCTATCAGAGTGGTTCAGATAGCTATTTTTATGTAAATCTGATTTTTGCTTTTTGCCGAATTTGGTTTGAGTGATTAGCAAAAAGAGTCTTAATATTTAATAATTACTCTGTAAATTACTATTACTAATTAAGATTACTAATTAATTTATACAAATCTAACTTTGTTTTATTTATTTTCAAATAAAACTCAATATTACTAATTTAGTTTTAGCAAATTTACACAAATTTTTGCTCTATATTGATCATGCCAATCACTTTAAATGTCATACCAAATAGTATCTTAAATATTACATTCTCTTATTTGTCATTACTCTTATTTGTCACATCTAAATACCAAAAATAACTCAGAAAAATATCTATTTTAACTGATTCTCAAGAATCAGATTCTTATAATATAGACTATTACTCTAAATACAAAGACTATTATGGAGTTAGACTTCAAGAATCCAAATCCTAAGCTCTAAGAGTTCTTTTATTAGCAGCTAAACCAGACTACTATGATGACAAAAAACAACAACACTATTTCAAAGTTTTATTATAACTTACAATTACAACTTGTCTTTGTGACAAATTTTATACAAGCTTTATTTCTCAATATTATAAAATTAGTCACTTAACTATAATTGATCAACTCTTAAATTCAACTTAAACTCAAATCAGAAACACTATCTCTACACAAAGTTTTAGAAAAATAAAAGAACTACTAACCTTACTAGTTCCTAAATCAGCTAATCAAATACAATTCTCTTTATTTTTGACAGTATATATTTTTTTTCAAATTTTCAAACAGACCCAACCCTTATAGCTATAATTGCATATTCACAACACTACTATATTTGCTTTGAGTACAAACTTAAAAATATTTAGTGTATTTTTACTAACAGTCAACAAAATTATGTTTCAGATTATATAGCAGCATGCATCTTTAAAGGTTTTCTAATTCATTACACTTGCATATTAAATATTCTAAATCTTAAACTCAAAATCAAACTGACTAAACCAGTAACTCCACTCAACTCTAATTAAAAGAAAGTAATCATTTTCTACAAACTTAGTATTATGTCTGCAAAAGACAAAATCCAACTATACAAATCTATTTTTTTAAAAAACCAAACTTTTATTATTTCACCAAAGAACAAAAACAAAAATAAAAACAAACCTTTAGAAATACTTCTAATGATCTTGATTGGTTTAAAGAATTTTTAATTACTAAAGAAATAAAACATTATACTAAACTTAACAACAAACTAGTTTCACAAATACTCAAATTTATTAAATTACATTTTATCAATGTATATTCTGAAAAAATTATTAAACAAGAAACTAAAAATAAACTAGTATTTAAATTTAATTATATGTATCTAATTAAAACTTTAGCTGGTTAATAGTCTAAATTTCTTACAGACTTTATTTATAAAAATAACTTTTTTATAAACCAATCTTTTGCTATTTCTTTTGAACTTATTCATTTTACTCTTATCATGTTACTTAAAAAATTCACTACTATACTCTTTACTTATCTCAACATTCTAAATTTTTATTTCATATAACTCAATTTTACCTTACACTACTTTAAATAAAATGCAAGTTGCATTAAACCTAGCACACTTATATCTTATTCTTCATAACAAATATAAAACTATTTAATAAAAAAATTCTACAAAGATCTTAAACTTTATCCAATATACTTCAGACTTCATTATTACATTAGTGAGGATAGCATTAATAAACCTTTTTTTAAAATCCAAAATAATAATAAATTTAATATCAATATATTTTTTAATATCTCAAAACAACAATTTCTTAAAACATTTCAAATCCTATTTTTTAAAAATTATTTAACACAATTTAAAATATGGTTCAACATTTTTTTTGATATTTACAAATAACAATTTACTCAAATTGACAAACAAAAAACATTTAACTTTATCAAATATCAAATTACTCTTAAATTCTTTAATACTTATAAAGTCTTTCTATCTCAATAATTTACTATTATCTCTATTAATTTACTATATAAACACTCACAACTTTGCTTTAAAGCAGCACTTTATTATTTTCATATATGTAATATAGAAAACTGTACTATATCAAAAATCTGTTAGCTAAATTCTTCAAAGAATTTATTAAATACTATTCTGTACTTACAAATTCTGACTCAAGCTCAAGTTTTAAAACCAAATAGTTATATCTAATTCTAAATACTGCAATATTCAGATATAATAATGATTTTCTAGCAACCTTTTAAAAACCAATACCAATTATCTATTTTTGACAACTCATAGCCAAAACTAAAGTAGATTTCTTAGAAATCAACAAACTTAACAAATCAGATCATTATGATGTTATTTATAAAAGTTATTACTTTTACAGTTACTTTAATGTATATCTTAAAGCAGCTGCTATCAATAACCAAATAGATAATCTTTATTTTTACTAAGTAATTGATAAAATCACATCAAAACCAATAGATATCTATTTTTTAGCTAGAATAATTACCTACTTCTATATATTCAAATCTTTTGATAAACTATTTATATTTTATATCAAAAAAGCTTATAAAGAATATTTTTACTTAGAAGCAAAAAAAACACTACTCTTCAAATTTAAAATTCAATTTAAAGCTTCTAAAATTAATACTAACTTCTTTAAATCTAAACTTAACAAAACTATTACAGAAAACATATCAAAATCATCTCTTATAACACAACCTATAGAAACCAATAAAACATTACCTAGCTTTTCAACAAATTCTGATGATAATGTTATAATGTTTGACTCTAATACAAATTAAAAAGCCACCAATACTAATTAACTTAATGCAGATACTAATTCTATTTTAAATGAAAAATCTACTATTTTACTAGCTACAACTTTTTATAATTCTTTTTAATAACTTCTTCTATAGAATTTCTAAGTAACTCTATAAAAGAAAACTCTTTCAAATTATTATCAATATTTTTAGACTCTTATAATTTAAACATTTGCTATAACAAATATCTATTATACTACAATCTCCTTCTTTTACAAGAACCTCAAACTATACAATCTTTTTATTCTTATCTTAACAACTATGCCCCATATTTAAAAAAATTTGTTATGATTTCACTAACTAAAGATAAAACAGAAGCATACATTTACTTATTACATAATACAAAACTTCTGCCAAATTATATACCTTCTCTATTATAAGACACATATAACATATCATTTAAGTTATATACAAACTCTATACTAACTTTAATACAATAACTAAAAAAACAAACAACAATTCTAACTTACTTAATTCTACAATTGAACTTACTTCTCTTACTATTAAAATAGGTTTTCTAAATATTAATAGTTTATTACAATCCAACAAAAAACTGTCACTTACTAAAATGCTTAAAGTTCAAGTTTTTGACATTCTAGGCCTCTCAGAAACACATTTCTCTATACAAGAAACTAAATATTTTAAAACACAAAATCTCAACTACTCTAGTTTCTAAAATTTTTTTTAAAAATTATACTAAGCTGAAATAGAAATTCTTATTTACAAAAACATCTTCAAATATATTGCATGCTCTTATAATTACAAAGGTTATATTGTTGGGCTTAACTTATATTTTAAAAATACTTCTATTAAAATTCTTCAAATCTATATTCCAATTCAAGAAAAGAAACAATTGCAAAATAAAATCTTTGAACATGCAATATCATTAATCCAAAGCTTATTCTACAAAATTATAATTATGAGTAACTTCAATAAATTTTCTAATTCTCATATAAACAGATTTTTACTAAAAAAATTATCTATTTCAGAATATCAACTTATTAAATTCCTTTCTAGTTTTTAATACAAAGATATTTATTATTTTTTCTTTTCTAATAATACTAATTACATTTTTAGCATTTTAATATACAAAGTAAAATTGATTAAATCTGAACTAATCTCTCAATTACAAATATTGAATATACTGATATACTTCAAAATTACTTATTAGAATCTGATCACAATCTTATTATTTTAGAAATTTCTATTATAATTAATAAACAAAAACTTTACAAACAATAGAAAAGAAAGATATTTTTTTAAAAAACTGTTCTAAAACTTCTCTTGAGAATTATGCTACTTAAAATACACAAAACTTTCAATAATTGTTTATTAAACTTCTCACAATCTTTAATCAAAACCAACTCAACAAGATTTGAAACTAAATTTACAAAGAGCTAATTAAAACTACTTCTAAACATATTCTATTTAAAAAAGTAAATACTATTAAAAGCATTAAAGAAACTAATTTTTTCAAACATTTTCAACTCTATTATTGCTACAAAAAAATTCTATTTCTCAAAAACCATATTAATTCATCTAATTTTAATATATTACTTCAAAACTACTTGTCTAAAAATCCTAATAATACAATTCAAAACCTATTACCTACTTTTTTCATCTTAAAAATGAACTCTATCTTATCAAAACTACTCTTAATCATCATCAAAATCAAATTACTTATAATAAAATTAAACAAAAAATTAATAATCAAAATAAACTCTTTTCTAAAACTTTTAAACTTTTTTACAAAAAAATTCTTGAAAAATATAACAATATACACATTGACAGACTATTAATTAATAACTTACTCTTAACTGAACATGTTGAAATACTCAATACAATTCATTCTTTTTTACTACCTATTTTGAATCAAAACCTCTTGAAACTATTTTACCAACTAATAAATACTTTGATCTTTATAAACCACATCCTAAACCTGTAAGTCACTACCAAAATTTTTTACTCAAAAAATTATACAACAAGAAAAGCAAGAGATTATTTCTAATCTCCCAAATCAAAAAGCTGCTGGCCTCTCTAAAATCTGTTACAAACATATTAAATATGCAAGCTTAGAAGCACAAAACCTTTTTAGACTTTCTTAAACAAATATTTTCAATTTTAAAAAGTTTTTATAAAATAAAAATTCTTTAATATTTTTCTTATTCCTAAAAATTAAACTAAAACTATATACTTACTTAAGTATAATCTAATCTATTATTGAATTTTTTAAGAAAACTTTTATAAAACTTTTTATATTCAAACTAGACAAAATTATTACTTCTAATAACTTTCTTTCTAATCTTAATTTTATGGTTTTCAAAAACTTTTCTATCCATACCTCAATTTAAATTTTACATAATACAATTAAATATTACAAAGCCAATAACAAAGAATTTTAGATATTATTTCAAGATATGTCTAAAGCTTTTGATAAAATTAATATTACAAGACTACAAGATGTCTGTAAACAAATTGGCATTTTAACTCCTAGTATAAACCTTATTACAAAATTATATACTTTTCAACTTGTCAGAATTATCACTAGTCACAGCCTTACACAATTAGTTCAAGTCAAATCTGAAATAAAGCAAAAAGAAACCTACTCATTCTTATTCTGAAAAATTTACTTTGACCATATTTTTTTCTTTATTAACCAAAAATATAAAAATCAATTTCTTAAAATATCTGCACAATTACCTTTTGATATACTTCTGCTTAATCAATTACTATTCCTTCATTAGCCTATATAAATAATATGACTTGGCATTATAAAGACTTATCCACAATGCAAATTATACTCAATAATAAATCTACTCTCTACAAACTTAACAATATTGAAATAAACCTTTTCAAATTAGACCTTTTATATATTAAATCTAAATTATTTACCTCTTTTTTAACTATTTTTACTATTAATAATCAAACTATTTCTTTTAGAAGATCTTAAGATATTATTTGATATTTAGGCATATTTTATAATAAAAATAGCTTTTCAAAACCAACTCTCAATACTATTCTTAACAAAATTGAAAACTTTCTTAATCTTATTAAATACAAAAAAATTATTTTCTTACAAATCTTAGCTTTTTTCAATCTTATTTTTTAATTCTTTCTGGAATATTTATTACAAATAACTTTAATTCACCAAAATACTCAAACTAAATTCTTTTGTATATTTAATATTCAAGCTAAAAAAATGCTGAGATTAGCAAGAAATACTAACAATATTACTTTTACTAATCTATTATTTTTTAACCTATCAACTTTTAATAATATTTTACAAAAATTAAGTGCTTTTAATATTAAATATACTTTTAATTTTACACCTCTACTTAATACTATTGATACTTTCTAAATTAATGCTTGGCTTCTTAAAATTTGATAATCTAAACTTACAATAGATATTCTTAATACTTACTATTATAAAATACAAAACTTTACATTAATCTTTCATATTTGCCAACTTATAAAACATAATATCTTATTCTCAAACTTTCTTCTCTTATCAGAAATCTTTACTAATTACAATACAATATATAAAATACTTTCTCTAAAATTACTCAATCTAACTATTCAAAGTTTAAAAAACAACAGAATTCTGTTTCTCAAACAAATTATAATAGCAACAACTTATATTTTCTTTTATTAAATAATATATTTTTGCAAATAAACAAACCTATACAAGACTACTAACCAATATGGTTTATACAAATTTTTTTTTTTAACTAAAATAATATTATTATTATAACCTGACCTTATTTAACTCTTTTCTTTAAAAACTCTTTTATTAACTCAATAAATATTCTTTCTTTTATCTTAATTCATCTTTTTTTTTATAAAATCTTCTATAATAATAATCAACCAAAGTTCTTTTTTCAACAAACTTATTCTCAACAAACCAACTTCTACCAACTTCATAATTACCTGCCTGGTTTTACTATGATTACTTCTATCTTATTTTCAATAAACTCGAATCTTCAATCTATTAGTATTCTTTACAATTAACTTAAACTTATTAAAGATTTATTACAAATTAATTTTAATAAAATTCTCTTACTTATTTATATTAACAATTATATATTCTTTCAACCCTTACTCCTCTTTCATCTTTTAGTAAATTTAATTTTTTTTGAAATACAACTTATTCAACAAACAGTTAAATTAATTTTATATTAAAATCAATTAATCAAACTTTACTCTTAAATCAGAAACTCTAATTTAGACAATTTAATCTTTTATACTAATAGTTTTATTAAAGATTGTTAAACATAAATATTAAATCAGACATAGGCTGGATTTGTAAAACAAATACTAATATAAATTTTAGCATAAATACAAAATCATATGCTAATACTAATTGCACTGAACTTGAAATTGTTCTATTATTTCTTCTAATTATTCCATCAAATATTAGTATTACAATTCATCTTAACAACCAAACAGCAATCAAAAACTGGATATGGCAACCTAGTAAAGTAGATGGGTTATTAATTCTTAAGTAACAGATCTAAGATTCAATTCCTATAAATAATGAATTTTGAAAATTATATCTGTATTATAGTAACTGTTTCTTACTGATCAGTTGAGTTTTAGACATTTGTAATCTTAGGTACATCAAGTCACATTCTACCTGACATTAGGACTTAGGACATTTATGTGAAGTGTAATATTATGTATACATAAAGAAATATAAAAAACTGATGTCATATAAGGCTTCAGTGCAAACCTGTAATAAGACTACTAGGCATAGAAGGCTAAGAAACTAAGGAGACAAAAATCTACTTAAAAATCTCAAGTAAAAAGGTAGCACAAACTTTTGATGATGCTATTAGACTGATAAAAGCTCATAAAATATTTTCATAAAAATTATCAAATAAACCAAATAACAAGATGTGTAGAGAAGCATATGACCAACTAGGTCATCAAAATCACTTAAGAAAAAGGATATATAAGTATATTATACTGAGCCATTTGGATTGGAAGTCTGAGAAGTCAGTTGGTTTTGAGTTGCAGTTAGTAGAAAATGATAAAAAAGAAGTTGAAAAGATGGATACTAGAGTTTGAATAAACTTTACAAAGGTAATAGCAATTTAATAGATAACTCTAACTGCAAGTATTGGTTTCAACCATAGTATTAAACCAGTTTAACAGTAAAAGAGTATATGGCTCATTCTGGTAGATTTGTCTTAAGGATAAAAATAATCTAAGAATTATAGTTCTATGATTAAAAGTGAATAGATTTGGGTTTATAACCTGGTAAAATTAATACTAAACTTAGATCAGAAGGTTTAAATGAAACATCTAAGCAAGAGTGTTAGATATAGCAACTGATATAGAATCCTTGAACAGACTCCTTAAATAGGTAATATAGAAAAATTATACATGTAGCCAGTTGTATACTTGTCTAATAGTTCAATATAGATATGTCTGTATAAAACATATATTTGATATAAGTATTAATAAAAAGCTAAAACCAAAGAGGTTATCTTAATATTAAAAAAAAAACAAAAAAAAAACAAGCAATTAAAAACTTACAATATATTTCCTTTTTAAAACAATTATATATTAAAAACTATGATATTATTTCTTTTATCAATTATCTTAAAACTCTTAAAAATCTTAATATACAATTTCTAAAAATTAAATTACATACAAATTTATTTTATAATCAAGCTAACTCTTTAGCCAAATGAGAAAGTTTTAAACCTATTCTTAAACTAATACTACTAATTATTTCAACTTATTTTTTATGAAATAATTATTTTATATTATTTAAAATTTGTAATTTTATTAAAAATATTATCACAATCTAAGAACTTTTATTCTGGTCTATACTTAAACATTTTCAAAACATTTTAGAAACTAATTGGGCTCTCAACTTTTAAATAATTAAATCTATAAAACATGATACTTAAAATACTCTTTTTATATTAAAATTCTTATAAACAACCTGCCTATCATGAAAAATCTTAATATATGCTATTCTTATCTTTATACAATATCAACATGTTCTCAATATACAAATCTTGAAGACATACTTTATCTTTTTCTTTGTATAGACAATAATATTAATATAAACCAAGCAATTCTCAATACAATTCAATTAACACTTACTTTACTACAAATATCTAATAGTTTAACACTTTTTATTCTTAATATTATTATAAACTTTAGAACCAACTCTGCTAATCCTAATTACCAATCAATCTTATATACTATATCTAACACTTTCTCTATAACAATCTACAATAATATTAAAATTCTTTTAAACAAATAAACAAATATCTTTTTGATCAATCTTATCAACAATCTTCTTATCTGGTTCTATCAAGATATATAGTTCACATGCAATGTATTCTAACATTAATAGGAACTTGTTTGTAATATAAACACTAAAACTAAATATACAGAAATTCATTTTCCAATAATATCTAACTCTACTAATAATCTTTCAAGAGCTACACAACCTTTTAATACTATACATTCTATTAACAAATAATTTTACAAAGTTTTACTCTAATCACATACTTTATATAATATTTTAATTCTTATCTAAGGTTTTCTCTAACCTATTCTAACTAAAAAATAATTTGAAACAATTATCTATAGCATTTATTAAGAAATAAGAAATGTACTATCACATTGGATGTCTTTTTTAGCAACACAAATGTAATTTAAAAATCTTTATTTTAGGAGTTCTTTTTCTGTAATTAAATTTCTTATTGTATTTTAAAATTTCTACTATGATATTATATAAATAAAAAAAATTATATATATATATATAAATGTTAATACTGCCTTAATCTTAAGAATTTACATGTGCAATCTTTTTATAATTATAATCTTTTGTAACATTACTGTTACATATAGTATTTATACTCCATAATTGAATCTCTATTTAAAATTTTCTTTTTTATTCAAAGTTATATCTGCACTTGAACTTTTTTACAGAGCTTCATATTTGATTAATGATTCCAATAAGTTACAGAGACAACATTGCTTCCAACCTGACTTGAACTGTTGATCTTGTCTGTGAAGGGTTTGAGAACTTACTCACTAAACTATGAAACCCAAACTCTAAAAAATATTATTAATAAGCTTTTTAATTTATTTTATAAAATATTATATATCAAAAGCGATAATACAACCTATATAGATATACGTATATATAATTTTATATACTAAATAAGCTTACTTAATGCATGAAGTTAAATTATATTTTTAAAAATAATTAAGATATTAATCTAAGTTCAAAACTTTTCAATCATTCTAGAAAACATAACAGTTTTTTTTAAAATTTAAGTAAAAATACCTTAATAACCATCTGTCTAAAATTGACAAAATTTTTTATTTTTAATTATGCAGTTTTATATATAAAATGTATAAAAAAATTTTCATCAGGAAACTTTTTTGGCTGATTTAATCGGTGATAATCGTTAGATATTTATATCGATTAAATTGATAGCGCTATTGATTGTTTCTTAACCAGTCAAATTATTAACGATTAAAATACTTATCGATACTTATCGATCTATCGATTCTTATTAATTCGATAGAAATCAACATATACAATAACTATTAATTTTCATAAACATTGATAGAATCAATACACAATAACTATCTAGTTCTATTCATATTGATTTCTATCAGTGAAGGTGTTGCTAATCGATTAACCCTAAATAGCAATCGATATCCATCAGTCAAAAAAATTTTCTAATGATAGCTAGTTATCGAGATATTTTATTTTTTGATTTCGTTCAATCAGAATGTGACTGTCCAAGTAGGTTCTTAATTAGGAACACTTTTTGTCACCACAACTAGGTATTATTGTATGGGTGACCAGAATTGTATGGTATAGGGATTTGCAGTACAAATTTACCAACCATAGTAGTCTGTTGTGAGTTTCCATTACACTCCGAACAATTCTTTGCCTTGAATGTGGTGAAAGTGTTTTATGCGACGGTGAGAGGTAAGCTCAATAATTAATTTATTCATATTATCACGTGGTAATTCACCAAAGACTATCCTAATAACTGATACAGTAAATAATAGTATGACTAACGCTAACGCTAAGTGGTTCGATTTTAAACTTAATTAAATCTAGAAAATTCTCGGTATATGCGTACAAATATTACATTACGTGTCCTTGCATAAGACACCGCACCAATATAGTAATGTAAATTGGTGTGACATATGACCCTGAGAACAAACAATATGGTCATAAGTTCATATCGACAAAGATAAATTCCTATTATAGAAGGGTAGTCCTGAAAAAAAAGATAAGCGGATAATAGGGCAAAAATAAATTGTGATAATATGAAATGGCAACTTTGTTATTTAGATAAAAAAAGAAAACTAGTAAAGAGAGATCTGTTCAGCTCAAACCTAAAAAAAGATAATATTGTAAATTATAATTCGTCCTTAGTTTTAGCTGCCGCCTCCGCAGCTTCTTTCTTCTCTTTCAATTTTTGGAAGTGTGGACATTTGGTAGAAGCATCCTTATCGTCTTTCCCTTCGCTACTTAAATAGGGGCAACCCTTCATATTATCGCTCAAATAAGGACATTTTGAATCATTAACATCCTTGGAATCTTTGTCACGTTTAGCATATGGACAATTTTCAGCATAGGGACAACCTTCCTCGACTGATGGCAAATTTCCATCATTAGCTTCAGCTCTTTTCTTAATATCTTCAAAATATGGACATTTTCCGGCAGCAGGACATTTGTTAGTGGACCAGTTAACATTTTCAAGTTTTTCTCCAGAATGAATAGCTTTATAGTAAGGACATTTTTCAGCTAACGGACAAGGTTTATTGCCATCAGCATCAATAGGGTGCTGATCATGTCCGAAAGTAACAGAAGGTAAATAAAGGTAAAAGATAAGAATAAAAGCAACAAATATAAATAATTTTGAGCGATTTGTATAAAGCATTTTTGAAAATTTTGCTGAAATTTTTGGTAAAAGGCTTTGAGAAATAAGTGGGAATTTATTCCTTATATAGGATTTTTTAATGATTAACTGATTAACATAATGCATTTATATAAAAAAATAGTGCTTAAATATTTATGTTTTACGCGTCATAAAACACAAATTGGACACAACTAATTTAGAAAATATACATTATGCACTCTATCCTCATTATAACGGAGTAATCGGGCTGGAAAATTCCATCCGTTGTAATGAATATCTGCTACAAAAAAAATTTAAAATGTTCTAGATAATCCCTAATGGGGATCCGTTTTTAACGGGGGCCACTATAACAGGGTAGAGTGTAATAAGGGTTTATTGTTGTAACCAAATAAATATTCGGGGACTATATGATATTACAGACGGGCGCCTAAAGACAATAATATCATAAGACTACATTTCATAAAATATACTTAATATATAATTTATATTGTGAAAAACAATTATATTGATAACTTTTGCAGGCAAACTTACTATATATTTTAAAAGTTAAATGCCAATTCCTGAGAGAGGCGGGTCCATTTCAATGTGCCTTTTTCTAAACAAAGACATTATTTCCTGATTATAGAATTTCGTTTAAATGTTTCACCGAAAACGAACTTGTCATTCTCGAACAGTTGGTATTATCGTTTATTTGTTGCTTTGAATAACTATTATCCGGAGCCAAACGGAAGACAATCTCCATGAAAGTGTAACCGATGATCCGAAGCTTTTAGTAGCTATAGATACAGTAAAAATAGCATAAAATTTAATAAATGAATACTTGGACACATGTCCAGTACTGCAATATATCGTATCAGTTTTATTTTTCTTTTCTTTCTTAATTAGGGATGTATCGGTCCCAAATCGGTCCTAAGCAGATTGCAATATTTTTCTTCGTAAGTCGCTATTTAAACCAAAATTTTAATAGCACGCAGAAAACCAGAAAACCTATTCTAACAAACATGGTTGTATCAGTCCTAAGTCGGTTCCGAGACCGGTGCTTTTAGAAATTTTGAATTTTTGAGAAGCTTCGCAATAAGTACTACAGTATTAAGGTTTTGGTTTAAATAAACTTTAGTTAGTGGCTTACGAAGAAAGTGATCTCAAAATCTTGCAATCTGCTTGGGACCGACAGGACCGATTCGAGACCGATCCATCCTATTTTAATTTTATATATGTTAATTAGAAATAGTGCCGCCAAGGGAATATTGTTCAAATCTTTGCCGTACCAGACTGGAGATGCGCCTCTTGCGTGATAAATTTATGTAGCATATATTTCGCATATCATGACCTCGCGCGAAATTGATAACCACATACAAAACGAAATTTTGCGTTTAATAGATTATAAGTTTTAGTGATGGCGTTATTGTTATTGTGTGTGTTTTTTAAAGAGAATTTAGTCAATCAATTCACCGACAAAGTAATTCTGGTAACGACTCTAGCATAACCACCAAGATCAGTTACGTAATCAGTATTTAAAATTTTGATTGAATTTTTCAAAAAAAAAACGAAATTCCAAGTTAATAAATTTATATCCTATTCATATATTAAACCTGTTTATTTACAAATGACTTTTATTCCTGGTATGAAAAAAGTGTTCAACACAATCATTTATTTAGGCAATAATAAATATTTTTATTTCTTCCATGTTTTTGGAAGACTCTTCGCATACTTCAATCATTTATCATTTTTTGAATCAATATTTTAAGCGTTAGTTTTTTTAATTATTATGGAAGGTCAAATAACTTCTATGCAAATAAAGTACAATTAATATATTATGCTTCGTGATGGTTTTTTTATAATTTTCTACAATTTCTAATTAAGTTTCAGACTTTTTAGTACCTTTCTCACCCGTTTCAGTTATATTATTGTATTTAAATAATCAATTGGAGTTAATATACAAATTATCTCTAACTTGGTTGCTCAGATTCTATAATAAGAGAATAATTTGAATTTTTTAAATCTAAATTATTGGACTTTTAATTAATGGATATAGAAGATTAAAATGAAATCAGATTGAAATAAAATGAGTAATAGTATCAAATAGACAAGCCATCAAAAAATACAAAGTTTTTGGATATTTCTTTTGGTATTTTTTTAGATTAGGATTAGGGTTTAATAGTGAGTTTATAATAAACAAGTATAATTGGGCTTTAGAGGGTTAAATAGAAATCTTTTATTTTACTTTAATCTGCATTCATTATGATTTATGATACGTATATACAGGTTATATTTATTAATATTAATTAGATAATTATGTTAATATAATTGATTTAATAATAATAAGATAGTTTTTATATAATTTAAGTTTATTTTTTCTTAATAAGAAAAAGTTGAAAGAGGATGAAGATTCTAGTGTAATGGTTAGATTGTCATCCTTCAAGCAACAGGTTTAATATTCAAATCCTATTTATGACAAAATTTGGAAATTATATCTGTGTTATGTAACTGTCTTCTATTAATCAGTTGGTCTTATATGGCTGTAACCCAAGTATATTAAATCTAGTAACTTGAAAGCTTAGAACATATATACAAAGTATAATGTTATATATATAGAAAATATTTAATAATATTACATAAGACTTTAGTGCAAACTTGTAATAAAATCATTAGATATAAAAAACTAAAGAACTAAGAAAATAGAAATCTATTTAAAAATTTCTAAATAAAAAGATAATATAAATTTTTAACAGTTTTATCAGACTTATTAAAGTTTACAAATCATCTAAAAAGAATAAATCTGATAAATTTAATATTAAATATATATAATAAGTATATAACCAATCAGACTGCTATATTTATTAAATGAAAAAAATATAGAAATATACTATATCAAATTATCTGAATTAGTAGTCTGATTAAAGTCTGTTAGTTTTGAGTATCAGTTAGTAGAAAATAATAAAGAAGATGTCAAAAAGATAAATATTAAAGTTCTAATAAATTTTATAAAAATAAAAATATTACAATATAGTAGTTAAACAAATAATTGTAATTGCAAGTATTAGATAACTATAATGTGTTGCATAAAATTAGATAACTATATATATGACATAACAAGTTTTAGTAAGTTTATTGTTAAGAATAAAATAGTTCTAGAAGTATTACTAAGAGTTGAGAACTTAAACAGGATTATATTTGAAGATGTTTTTATAATACAAGTTAAATTGCATATTCAGAGAGTTTAAGTAGATAAAATTTCTAGTTGACTTGCAGATATGATATCTAGTATAGAACTTATATAGTAAAATATAAGCAAATTACTTAAATTAAATACTAAAAGTATATATATAACTAACTGTAATCTTTTATGTAAAAAAAACTTTTAAAGTTATTTGTATTCTATAAATTTGAATAAAAATTATTTTTTAAAAGCAAAAACTTTAATACAAAAAAAATATTAATATTAATAAGATAGATAATTTTAATTTTAATAGTCTTATTAACAATTTTTATTAAACAATGCAATGATGCATTTATATTAACTAATTTATAAACAGAGTTATTATTATAAATTATAGAAGTTGATATATATTTAGAAACTTCTTTACTAACACATGTTGCAAAGTGGATTAGAGCTAAAAATAAAATAGTATTTGTTATCTTATAGCATATATGTTATAATAATCATCAAGATTATATATAAAAAGACTATTATTTTAATAATAAAAAAATATATAGAAAATGGCAATCCTAGTGTAGTAGTTGAGTTGTTAACTTTTAAGTAGCAAGTTTAAAATTCAAATCTTACCTAAGATGAAATTTGAAAATTAACCTTTAATATAGAAAAACTGTTTCTTGTTAATTAGTTAGATTTAGGTATCTGTAATCTTGAGTATAACCAATCAGATTCTACTTATTATTAGGAGCTTAGAGCATCTATATAAAGTATAACATTATATATATATAAAGAAATATTAATAACTAATGTTGCATTTCACTGTTAATATTAAAAAAAAAAACCATTGTTGCATAAGATTTTGATGCAAACTCACAATAAAACTACTAGATGCAGAAGATTAAAAAACTATAAAGACAGAATTCTACTTAGAAATTCCTAAGTAAAAGATAGCACAAATTTTCAATAATGCTATTAGACTAATAAAAATCCAGAAACCTTCAATAAAGAATAGATAGTTATGCAACTAAATAACAAGATATATAAAAAAGCATATAACCAACCAGGTCACTAAAACTGTTAAAAAAAAAAAATACTATAAGGTATATTATACTGAATTATTTGAATTAGAAATTTAGAAACTTTATTAAATTTTAAGTTGGATAGTAGAGAAATAAAAAGAAGAAGTTAAAAAGATAAATACTAGGATTTGGATAAACTTTATAAAAGTAAAAATAATGTAACATAGCAGTTAAACAGATAACTCTTGTGACTGTAAGTATTAGATAACTATAGCATATTGCATAAAACTAGGTTAGTATATATAAAATATAAAGGACCTAGTAAGTTTTTTGTTAAGAATAAAGTAGTTCTAAAATACTAATGAATATCAGAAACTTGAATAGGTATGGCCTTAAAATGTTCTTATAATACAAGATAGATTGCATATATAGAAAGTTTAAATAAGCAAAACCTCTAGCTAGCTTGCAGATATAACATCTAGTATAGAACTTATATAGCAATGTATAAGCAAACTACTTAAATTAGAGATCAAAAGTGCACATATGGCTAGGTATAACCTTTTATGTAAAAAAGTCTCTAGTGGCACCTATGTTCTATTAACTTAAATAAAACAATTACAATTCAAAGATAAAGACTTTAATATAATATATATATATATATTATTATTTTAGAAAATTGCAATTTAAACTATAATTAGATATAAGTACAATGCTATAATTAATTGTAATTAGAATGAATTATAGCAAAAAGTACTATAATTTATTATAATTATAACTAATTACAGTATTGTGCTCACATTTTTAATTGTAATTCTATAGAAATATATATAAATAAAACTATAAATCTTTTTTATAAATATTCTCTCAAAGATCTTTAGTATGATATGCAACTTTTACAAATATTTTTTATAGAATTATTAACTATCAGACTGTGTAAAATAAAATTAAAAAAAAATAGAAATATTTTTTAAAAAAATACTTGTAACTTATAATTTTGCTTATAAACCTATTTTTGAGTTCTAACAAAAAAAATTTTTTTCAAAATTTTGAAATGAAAACATTTTTGCTATTTCTCTATCTTTAATACTAATCCTTATTCTAAATTATTATATTTTAGTTTGTTTAGATCTTATATTATATACAATTTTATAGAATGTATTATAAAAATTATTAAAAATATTACAATAAAAGTTGCATACAGTATTATACTAAAAGGTTTGTATATAAAATTTTTTATAAAACAGCTAGAAAAGATAATTTTTAACAAAGGTTTTCTATTAGAAAATTTTATAGTTTTAGTTATGATATAATGCTAAAAGCCTATACTTAACAGTTATATGAAGTATTTTAAATTTTTAAATAACTATAACTTTTTATTTAAGAGGTTTTTAAAAAATCCACCTAGTACCTTCAACTACTATACTCTACCAACTTATCTTGTACTCAACCATGGCTTTAACATGCTTATTCTATCTGAAAACAACTCTTTTATGCTTATCATCTTGAAAATTCTCTTTTACTTTGACAACAAATTAACAAAGCTACTGACAAAAGATGTGTTACCCT